AAAATTCCATGTCTACACATAAAGTGAAACAAGTGTTCTGCACATCTCTTACTTTATTCCAGAGAAACATATGTACCTAATTCCAAAAGAATTATCATTCTAAATCTTCTAATTAGGTGCTTACCTTACAAGAAATACACTAAAGCAAGTCACAAAGAATTTTAGGTTCCTTTATAAAGTTTAGTATAAGTATCCATGTCAGAAGACATTCAAAGGAAAATATGGAGATTCAAGAGGAGAATCAGAGATTACAAGTGTCTTCTTTGTTATTTAGATCTAGAAGAGACCTAACAGATATTATCTCAACGAAGGGTCAGCAAACTACAACCTGGGGGCCAAATGCCTCAGTTTGTACAACTCAAGAGCTAAGATTATTACATTTTAAAGTAATTTTATTTTATTTTTTAGATTTTATTTATTTATTCTTTAGAGAGAAGGAGGGAGGGAGGAAGAGAGGGAGAGAAACATCAATGTGTGGTTGCTGGCAACCTGGCCCACAACCTAGGCATGTGCCCTAGACTGGTCATCGAACCAGGGACCCTTTGGGTTGCAGGCCAGCACTCAATCCACTGAGCCATACAGCCAGGGCTAAAGTAATTTAAAAAAATAAGAATAATATATTATGGCATGTAGAAATTCAAGAAATTAAATTTTTAGTATCCATAAATAAAGTTTTATTGGATCACAACCATTTTTATTCATTTATATATTGTCTATGGCTACTTTTGTACCATAACAGCATAATCAAGTAGTTGTCACTCAGTTCTCCAGGCAGAAAACTTTTAATTTTTATGTAATCAAATTTATCAATATTTTCATCATTTTGAGTCATGGTTCAAAGGCTTTTCTCTGGTTATAAAGGAACTTAACCCCTGATTTCTTCTAGTTTTTGAATGGTTTTCTTTTTTTACATACACATACTTACTAGGATATATCCTATAGCCAAAAAAAGCTGAAAATATATCTAAAATGTCATTTATTATTTCTATTATTAGTAGACTTGTTGATATTATTGACTGTTTTATGTAAATTATAAGATAAAGCAAATGAGTATTTCTGTCAATTTTGTTAGGAACCAAGATTTTCAGTGTATAAAGAAAAGAGATACAAACATAAAATCAAGAAATTAGGTAAAAATGCCAAAACATTATATTTGATATGAAAGTGTAAGTGTGAACTTATTATTTTTAAAATGTTATTTGTTAGTAATGAAAGAACCTAGAAGCAATGACAATATAATATTTATGAGCATTCCTAGCTCTCAGATGAATGACCTCCACCAAAAGGAGCTAAGAATCCTTAAAAAAATGCATGAAGCTTTCAAAGATTAAGGAGTATGTCAGAAGAACACAAGAGCCAAAGATGGGTCAAGGTGAGCATCAAAAAGAAAAAATGTCTGCCCTGGCCAGGTAGCTCAGTTGGTTAGAGCACTGTCCCCATGCACCAAGGTTGTGGGTTCAATCCCTTGTCAGGGCACATACAAGAATCAACCAATGAATGCACAAATAAGTGGAACAAAAAATTGATATTTCTCTTTCTCTCTCCCTTCTTCTCTCTCTAAAATCAATAAATTAAAAAATATAAAAAGAAAAGAAAAAATGACCAACACCATGTGCAGTGGTGTTCAAAAAACAAGTGTTTCCCTTAAGATGGGGAACAAGACAGGGATGTCAGCTTTTACCATTCTTATTCAACATAGTACTGGAAGTTCTAGCCACAGCAATCAAAGAAGAAATAAAAGGCATTCAAATTGGAAAGGAAGAAGTAAAACTGCCATTATTTGCAGATGACATGATACTGTATTTAGAGAACCCTAAAGATTCCACCCAAAAACTGCTAGAACTGATAATTGAATTCAGTAAAGTAGCAGGATACTAAAGAAATATCCAGAAATCAGTTGCATTTTTATACCAATAATGAACTATCAGAAAGGGAAACTAAGAAAACAATTCCATTCACAATTGCCTCAAAAAGAATAAAACACCTAGAAATAAATTTAACCAAGGATGTAAAAGACTTGTACTAAAAAATTTTTAAGACACTGAAGAAAGAAACTGAAGAATATACAAATAAGTGGAAGCACATGCAATGCTCATAGAGAGGAAGAATTAATATTAAAATGTCCATACTACTCAAAGCAATCTATGGATTCAGTGCAACTCCTATCAAGATACCAACAGTGTATTTCATAGAACTAGAACAAATATTCCAAAAATGTATATGGAACCACAAAAGATCCTGAATAGCCACAGCAATCTTGGAAGAAAAAGAAAAACAAAGTTGGAGGAATCATGTTATCAAACTATACTTTAATCCCATAGTAATCAAAACAGCATGGTACTAGCATAAAAACAGACATATAGATCAACAGAACAGAATAGAGAGCCCCAAAATAAACCCACACCTTTAAATTCAATTAATATTTTACAAAAAGGGAGCATACAATAGGGTAAAGATAGTCTATTCAATAAATGGCATTGGGAAAATTGGACAGACACAGGCAAAACAATGAAACAACATCATTTTCTTATACCATACATAAGAATAAACTCAAAATTGATTAAAGACAAATGTTAGAGTTGAAACCATATAAATCTTAAAAGAAAACATTGGCAGTAAAATCTTGGGCATTTCATAGCAATATTTTTTCTGATATACAATATCTTCTTGGACAAGAGAAACAAAAGAAAAAATAAACAAGTAGAACTACATCAAACTAAAAAGTGTTTGCACAGCAAAGGAAACCATCAACAAAATGAAAAGACAATGCATGGAATGGGAGAACATATTTGCTGGTTCATCTGATAAGGGCTTAGTATCCAAAATTTATAAGGGACTTACAAAACTCAATACCAGAAAAACAGACAATCCAATTAATAAATGGGCAAAGGACCTGAAAAGACCCTTCTCCAAAGAGGACATACAGATGGCCAATAGGCATATGAAAAGATGCTCAATGCCACTAATCATCAGAGAGATGCAAATTGAAACCACAATGAGATATCACCTCACACTTGCCAGAATGGCTATCATCAATATATCAACAAACAACAAGTGTTGGTGAGGATGTGGAGAAAAGGGAACACTCATGTACTGTTGGTGAGAATGTAGATTTGTGCAGCCACTGTGGAAAGCAGTACGGAGTTACCTCAAAATATTAAAAATGGAACTGCCTTATGATGCAGCAACTTCATTTCCAGGAATATATACAAAGAAACTGGAAATACTAATGTGAAAGAATATATACATCTCTAGGTTCACTGCAGCATTATTTGCAATAGCCAAGATTTGGAAGCAGCTCAATTGCCCATCAGTAGATGAGTAGGTAAAAGAGCTGTGGCACCTTTACACAATGGAATACTACTCAGCCATAAAAAAGAAGAAAATCTTACCCTATATGATAGCATGAGTGGACCTGGAGAGTATTATGCTAAGTGAAATAAGCCAGTCAGAGTAGAACAAGTACCACATGATTTCACTCATATGTGGAATCTAATGAACATAATAAACTATCAAAGTAGAAACAAACTCATAGATACAGAGAACGGACTGGCAGCTGTCAGAGGGGAAGGGGGTTGAGGGTTCAGTAAAAACGGTGAAGAAATTAAGCAAAGAAAAAACTAATAGACACAGAAAACAATATGGTGATTGCAAGAGGGAGAGGGGGTGGGGGTAGAGAGAGGTAGAAGAGGGTAAAGAGGGGAATAAATGGTGATGGAAGAAGACTGGACTTGGGGTGAACACACAATGTAATGTACAGATGACGTATTATGAAATTGTATCACGGAAACCTACATAATTTTATTAACCAATGTCACTCCAATAAATTCAAATTAAAAATTATTATAATAGATTAAAATACATGGAATATGTATTAAAATCCATGTGTTCATAATGATACTAAAAAAAAAAACTCTTCCCCAAATGGGGAAAAATATTTCATTTGTTGCCACTGGTGGTGACTATTGATGAAAGAAGGAAATAAACTATATTCAGAAAGTCTGTAATTAAAAGGAAAGAATTAAATATTTATTTTGTTTTCACCAGGAGGAAGTATATTTCAATGCAACTAAATATATAGCAACTAAGTGGGATTTATTTCAGGAATTATAAGATAGCTCAAAATGAGCAAATTTATTAGTAAAATTCATTATTAATGAATCCACGATGAAAAATCAAACGATCATCTCCATAGACGTTGAAAAAGCACTTGAGAAAATCAATATTCTTGATTTTTAAAAATCACTCTATAAGACAGAAATTAGGGGTGTGTGTGTGTGTGTGTGTGTGTGTGTATGTATGTATAACTGTTTATGGTAAAATAGTAATTAATACAGGAATAATTTCTACTTGAAGTCATAAAAAAAACAAGGATGCCCATAGCACCACTCTCATATTGGATGTAATAGCCAATATAATTATGTAGGAGAAAGATGTTAGAAATATAAGAATTGAAAAGGAAGAAGGAAAACTATTGCTTGCAAACAGTATGGCTGCCTCCCCAGAAAACCCAAGAAATGAACTAAAAATTTACTATAAGCAGTAAGAGAACTTAATAAGGTAGCAAAATACAAAAATATACAAAAAATAATAGCTTTTGTGTATTAAAAAATGTAATGGAAGAAGAAAGTCTCACAATGGCAACAAAAATGATAAAATAGTATTAAGTTTAATAAAAGATGCAAACCTATGTGAAAAAAAAACTGCAAGACAACACTAATGGATACAAAATAAGATGAACAAATGGAAAGACATGTTCTCAGACAGAAAAAAGCACTTGCCATTATTAAAGGTGTCGATTTTCTCTAAGTTAATGAATAAACTTAATCAGATTTCAATAAAAATTCCTGCAGAAAGACAGGGATGGGAAAAGGTGCCGGTGTGCTCCATAGAGAGAGCCACCTTATTTTAAGTCCTTTTTTCACATGAATATATTATTGCTCTATGTGCTTTTCAATGTAAGGAGCTATATCACCAACTGAAAATATAACAAATTGTACCTGTTGTGGACAGTGTTGGTAACATGTATCTTCAGATCTTCTGTGACATCTCTCATCACCCTCTGATAACCAGACTTTCCTGAGTCTTTGATATAATAAGGATTGTTCCTCATTAAGTATTCCCCCAGATAATTAATTGGATCAAACTTAGTTGGAATATCAACTTTTGCCAAAAGCTTCTTTTTTTCCACTTGCATTAACATTTTTTCCACTCCAGGAACTAAGGTGGGTAGAAGTTTGTCAAGCAAATATACACGAGTGTCTAGCGTCATGTTTTCAATATTAAACCACTCTCTGGCCAGATTATCCTTAGGGAGTGTTTTCTCAGCCTTCTTTTCTAATTCTTTCTTCAGATTATCCTTATCTATTATTCTCTGCTGCATTGCCTGAGCTCTTGCCTCCACTCTTTCAAAAAGATTTTTCCTCCATGATTGTTCTAGCTTTAAATCCAGTATAGTTTGATCTAAATTGAAAACCACTTTTGCAGGTTTTCTTGCCACAATATTTTTTGAGACTCCAATGTTAGATTCCTTTATTGAATCAGTTGAGGTTCTTGGCTGCCCCTCCAGGTTTAATTCTGAGGGGGAAAAAAAGCAAAATGTAAGAAATATCAGAAGTAGATTTTAATCTCTGCTAGTTTAGAATATTATTAGGAAAATATAATGTCTCTTTACATGGTGTATTCAAACAAAGCTGAAAGTAACAGAAAATGAGACAATAATGACTTTAACCATAAAGACATCTATTGTTGACTTAATCAGAAGTCATTCAGCAGCTTAGTGTTTTTTATTAAGTACCTTGCTTGTATTAGTGTTCTTTTTTTTTTTTTCTTCTATTGATTCTAGAGAGAGGGGAAGGGAGGAAGAAAGAGAGGGAGAGAAACATCAATGGGTTGACTCTTGCACATATTCCAACTGGGAGCTGAACCTGCAACTCAGGCATGTGCCCTGACCAGGAATGGAGCCTGTGACCTTTTGGTTTGCAGGACAGCACCCAACCAACTGAGCCGCACTGGCCAGGGCTTGTTTCATTATTCTTTAATCATTTTTTGTGCTTGTACCTCGGGATCACAAGATAGCTACTGCAGTTCCAGGCATCCCTTCTTTACAGGAAAAAAGTATTGAGAAGAAAGGAGATTTTTCCTCTTGAGGTTCTGTTTTATTATCCCAGAAGAGAAGATCCCAGGTCCCTCCTCCAACACTTTCCCTTACATTTCATTGACCCTAATTAGGTTACATGTCCACCCCTAGAAAAATAGCTGGTAAAGGGAAAAGGGACTACTATGAATAGTTTTGACCAACCATAATTTAATCCTTCAGGTCAGGGTTTAGAGCAAGTTCTCTGATATCAGGTGATTTCCATCGGCTATAATATTGAGGTTCAGTCAGCAGACAAAAGGGGAGGGAAATGTTTGTTAAGTAGGCAGTAAAGAAAGTCTACCACACATGTATATTTAAATATATTTCTTCCCACTCTCATACTTCCAGCCTGTTTCATGTTTTCATTTTTAAAATGTAGTATGGAGACATTAAACCAAGATAGCAGACTGGGAACAAGCACCTACATTCCTTCCCTACCAAAATCTCTATGACAGAAGAGATTTTGTGGTTGTGTATTTAATATGAACATAAGAATGCTGGAAATCATGAAGGAGGCCATCAGCAGTTAGAAATTTTGAGTGTTTCTGAAAAACGTAAGGTAGGTGGGAATAGATTGACTGAAGAAAATATAGGGCTGCAAATATACAGGAGAAAAATACATTGTAAAATTTGGGAGCAGTTTTGAGGCACCCTAAGTTTAAAGAATTTAGATATAGGTAGCAGGGGAACAATTGACCTTTTTGTGTGTCTTCCTCGCCATTTAAGCCATTCGTCAGGCACCAGAGCCATTCACCCATGCACGGGGACAATGTGGTTTGGGAGAGAAAGGCAGAAAAATGCCTCTACACTGACAGATTTCACTGGCTGCACGTCTTACCCTTCACCCACAATCACTGGTGGCAGGCTCCAGAAAACAAAAACTCCATCCACAAAAGAGCAAACAGGGATTCCCAAATGTAAATGTAAGTACACACGTAAGAATCATGACTATTTAAAGAAAACTATCTCCACGACTAAATTCAACAAATGCAATAATTAATGCTACCCAAGGAAGTACCATTAGAAAAGTATGAAGAGTCTAAAAGAATTGTAATTAATATCCTCAAAGCAGAGAAATTAGACAAAATAAAAAGAATGTTATAAATGTTATTAAAAAACAGTTTAGAAAGCTTGGATATCTAGTGCTCAGATCTTGGTCTAATATCATTCTCCAATTTTTAAAATATCGGGAGTCATTGGAGAAATGGCTAATTTAAGGACTGGTGCAGGAAATAGACATGAGAGCCTAGAGCATCTTGCAGTGTCAGGAAGTAAGAAAATGCTCCAAAAAATTCTACAATGATTGAGATATGTCAAAGGGACACAATAGCCAACTGAAAGAACTCCGAATGGCCAAAGATGAAACAAGCTGAGAAATGAAATATAGTAGTATTGGATTATAACCTGTTGGGAAGTGCCCTGTTTGGTTTTGGGAACTGTGGCTCTGTGGACAGGCAAGAGGGCCCCAGGCCAGGAAATAATCAAGGAGGCCTTGGGAAAACAAGCCACTGAGGAGATGACACCTGTCCCCCTGTCAGGGGCACAGCCCCTGCCTCTGACATCACCCTGCTTGGCCCTGTGATGGCTGGTAGTCGATGACAGGTAAGATCTCTCATGAGGAGAGATGACCTAAGACAGACATGGCTGGTATGGGCAGCAGGAGAAGGACTTGGGGGACATGGAGAAAGGGCAAAAGGCCCACACCCCTTGGCTCGGCTTGGACATGGCCAGAGTCCTCATTCTACCTGAAAGAAGCCTCCTTGTCTCTCGGCAGCTCCCTCACCCCCCCTGGCTCAGGCTTGAAACAATACCGGAGATAGTCGTAAACTGGATCTTGTGGTTCCCAGGGGAAATCAGGCCTAAAAGTAAATTCTTTAAAGCATGCTTTGTTTCTCCCTCAAAAGCTATGATAGCCAGCTTATGCTGGGAAGGAAATTTACATTATTCACAGACCCTAACCTTAAATCCTTTGGAGCTCTCATGTTTACTAGTGTGCTCTCAGACCCATGTAAATCGGTGTGTTCCTGCCTTTTGTTTTCTTCAAAACATCATCTATTCTCTGTAAACATTAACACACTGATGTAATAACATAAGCTGCACATTCCTATTACCTAGTCTCATTGATAATCCTTTCAATAAAAGCCTTTGGACAAAGGGGCTCAGGAGCTTCTCCATTAGAGGGAAGTGTCCTTTCTCCTTTCCTGGCAAACAGAGAAGTGTTTGTGACGACTCGTGTTTATTTCCCCCTCTGTGACAATCCTGGGGCAGGCTCTGCAGGATTCAGAACCCTGCTCCCCCCTCAGCTGGCCCAGGACAGTAACCCTCAGAGCCGGGAGCCCCATGCTCCCCGCGATGCGCTCCGTCCCCATGACAATAACCAAGTATAAAAGAAATATCCATAAATCCATATTGATATAAACAATATTTGAATAAATAAATAAATGGAAGGAAATAGCCAAATGTGCTACGCAGAATATTCCAAATAATTTAGTAGATACTCTGCTCTCCCCTAAACTCATACCCCCAATCTAATCATTATTTTTAAAAACCCACCAGACCGATCCCAATTTGGGACATTCTATAAAAATACCTGGTAGTACTCCTTAACACATGTCTTATTTGCAGAATGTGACACAGTTGACCACCTCATCTCCAGTGATAGATATTTTTTTCTCCCCAGATCTCTTTGGGAGCCACCCTTCTCTTATTCTTAATCCATTTGGTTTATATGGGGCTGACATCACCCATTTAGATCCAGGGATGGGTGGTGATCCAAACCTGACCACTGCTAAGGTCATTAAAAATAAGGAAACCTGAAAAACTGTCAGAACAAAGGAAAGTCTAATTAAGCAATCTATAAAGAAACCTGTGAAAAGCCCATATTAAATCTAAAGAATGTCTTAATTCCAATAGTGGATAGTATTTATGAACCTCCTCCCAAGTTTTTATTTCCTCTTTGGCTAATTCTCTTATTCCAATATGGAGAAGTGAGGAAGGGAGGATAATGCTCTCCTTTATATCTCAGTTATATTTGGAAACAAATTAACCTTTTTTTGAGGGGGAATCCATTCTGTTTTGCAACATTGTTTATCAATATGCTTTGTTTATATTTTGATTTTAAGTAAGCCTGGAAGAGCAATTCTTTCAAGTCTACAGGTTCTAGTGCACTCTTTTTGCTTCTAACATTTCCAGAATAACCCAAGGCAAATAGATATTCCTTCTCCTGCTTTAAGAGTAGTGTTACAGGTGTATAACAAATTAGTATCTACCCACCTGCCATCATTCATGAGTAAACTCCCACATGAACTAGGGCATTCTCTATCTCCATTGCAGCCTGTTAGTGTTCCTCTAGTGTGTTTGTCTATTATAGGTTGCTAAGCAATCATCCTAGTGTTTACATAGTCTCCACTGATATGCAGAATAAAAGTAGATGTGTGTTTGGTTATAGTTTGGTTATAACTCCAGTCAAACACTTCTCTCTTAGGGCCATAAAGCCAAGAAAAGAAAAGGAGGTGCAGCAATAGCAGGTCAATAAGTCAGGATTCTGAACAAGCCTTTCTGCAACTGTCTTTTGATTGAGTGACTTCTGAATTCAGGATCACAAATTACAGCACTGCTCCAATGGCAAATTAATTCAGAGATTCAATTGAATAGAGTTTCAAACAAGTACTAGAGTTTTTAGCAAATTTGTGCTTAGACATTCTTAAGCCTTCTACAGATAGATTGATTCATTTACACATTCACTCAATAAATAATTATTGATGTCTTGCTTTGTGCCCAGCACTATGTTAAGCACTGAAATTCTTTTCTAAGATTGTCTTCCTAAACTCTTCATAGAATTCTCCCCCAACACACATACCTTCACCCCTATATTAATCCACCTTCTAACATACAAAGATGTATTAATTTATGCACTATGGGCATAAATGCTTTCAACTAAATAGGAAGGGACACAAAAGAATTCCTTATTCATATTTTAAAGGTCCAGCCTTATAAGATACTTAATATTTCTTGCACTTAGTGCATGGCTCACTGCTGGGCATGGCCGTATAATCATAATAAGCCTTAGTAGACTCTTTCTTCACAAGAAGGTATGTAACATTAGTGAGACTGGGTTCTAATTAAACTGGTAAAAATCAACTCAGCAGGGCTATTCAACTAGATTTGTGGTGTTCTCTTTAAATACAGGCCCTGTCTGAAACTCAGCTGGCTTGGTCTTATTAGGATTTCTTAACATTTCTACATACTGGAGAATGACTACTGTGAAAGTAGAGGAAAAGAAGCACTACTAAATACTACTAGAATTAAATTCAATAGCTATAGGAAAAGGCATTTTCCTACAAAAGTTTGATAATCTTAGGCTGTGTAATGTGAACACAGCAGAACAAATTGGTGGTTTTTAAAAAAGATTTCTCAAAATGCAAGTTAAGCTCATAGTCTAAAAAGTAAAATAACTAGGGTAAATAAAAGAGAAATTCACATGGTATATTTAACCACAATATTTTCTTGTAAAGATATGTACTTGAGCACATTCTGGGGGCTGCCTGGCAAGACAACATCATTTTGACAAATATATAACAAGGATAAAGATACTTCCTTTGATGTGTTGAAATTGAAATATCAGTTCCTCTTCCTATTTCTTACTTAACACATACACACACTCACAAAGGTAGATTCAGAATATTAGGTTTAATTGTGACTGATCACTGAATAAATTAAGTACATTGCATTGCATTTAATATTACAACAAAGAACTGCAGTGTTTTCAGTATATATCATATTCTGGGATGAACAGAATTACACACACACACACAAAAACATGTTTCCCTCTACTATACATAGAAAAGCAATAACAGAAAATTAAGTACAAGGACAGGAAAGAGCCAAAACTCTTGATTGACATGTTTTCTAGGGAGGCAATTAATTACATGAGGGAATACATGCGTAAAGTTTTGCAGATGAAAATTTGGCCATAACTGAGTAATGTGAACAGCTAATTTAATTTTTAACAGATTACCTAGATCACAATTTTGTTTGGCATGTTTAAAATGAAAGAGTTCATTGATAAATCTGGCCCAAGTGATTATGGAGAAGGTAAAGTATATGTATGGGGTAGTGGTAATGGTGGGTGGGAGTGAGGAGGAAGTGAAATCAAGAAATTGGCATGGGGGAAAGGGAGAGACAGGTGGAGAGGGACTTGCAAAGAAACTTTTATTTAAAAGTTAGTGATGTTGTGAAAATTTTACTTAGTTTACAGTAATGACAGAATAAATGTTGGAAAGCTTGATTCCTTTTTTTTTAAAAAAAAGATTTTATTTATTTTTAGAGAGTGGGGAAAGAAGGGATGAAGAGAGGGAGAGAAACATCGATGTGTGGTTGCCTCTGGCATGCCCCCAACTGGGGACCTGGCCTGCAATCCAGGCGTGTCACCTGACTAGCAACTGAACCAGTGACACTTTGGTTCACACACCAGCACTCAATCCACTGAGCCACAAAACCAACGTGTAAAGTTTGATTTTTAATGTGTACATATTAATATGTGTGTTAACAAGAAGAATAGTCAATTATTGCTTTTAATTCGTTAAAAAGGTAGAGGCCCTGGCTACAGTGGTTCACTTGATTGGATCATGGTCCCATAAACCAAAAGTTTGCAGGTTTGATTCCCAGTCAGGGCACAAGCCTAGGTTGCAGGTTCAGGCCCTGGTCGGAGCATATATGAGAGGTCCCCAGGTTGGTGCAGGTTCGATCAATGTTTCTCTATCACATAGATGTTTCTCTCCCTCTCTCTCTCCCTCCCTTCTCCTGTCTCTAAAATCAATAAGCATGTCTTCGAGTGAGGATAAAAAAAAAAAAAAGACAAACGTTTTGGAGAAAAGTAAACACCTAAAAATTTTAACTAGTGTCTACGTAGCAATCTATAGTTTAGAAAATGCTTCAATAATTATCATTGTAATTCAGCCTAGCACAGCCTATCACATACTAAACACGCAGTACTTGTAAATCAAATTGAAAGGAATTTCAATGAATGAAAATATAAACTGAAATTATTAAATTGTAAATATTGTAAAGAATTTCTGTTGTACAGGATTTCACTAAGTATCTGAAGTTAGAAGAATTAATGAAAGGGATGAATGCCTTGCCCACATATTTGTTGCATTTTTTACTATATAAATTTTCAATCTATCTGCATGATTCCGTGGGATTTTGGTTAAGAATTGGGCTAGAATTCAAACAATAAATGTGTAGTCAAGTACAGGGGAAAAAAGAAGAAACAGAAAAACAATATGCAGGCCTAATCACTATGGCTCCTCATTTTATGTTCATATTAATGGGTTGTTTGGTATGTGTCAGTCAGCAATCTTAGTTAATTGTCATAAAAGTGCCTCAAAAGTATTACTAGAAGGTAAAGGTATACATTTTAAACTATTTCCCAAACTGCATTTAAAATATTCCTAAGATTATATTTTTAAAGGGTAAAACCTTGAGGAATGTATCACTAATAAAAACTACATAATAGTTTTCAATTCTATTGTGTAGGGCAGCTATTTTCAATCTTTTTCATCTCATGGCACACATAAACTAATTACTAAAATTCTACAGCACACCAAAAAACAAGCGGTTTTTTGGGAGGGTTTTTTTGCTGACCTGAAAAAAAGGTATAATTTTGATTCATTCGCACCAGATAACTATTGTTGTATTGGCTATTGTCATTTTTTAATTTGACAATCTAAGGGAAAAGAGATCAGTGTCCCTGACTAAATAGGTATTGCATATTTTAAAAATTCTTGCAGCACAACAGTGTGCATGGGGTAGCACAAACATTGAAAATCTTTTCTGTAGGGGAAAGGCTAGTTCTCTACCTTGAAATTTGATTTCACTGGTTGCTTCCTCCACCACATTGTTGCTGGTATCCAATGCTGAACTGCCTGGTTGACTCTGTTGACTCTGAAAAGAAGAAGAAACATCAACTTCAAAATGAGTTGCTTTTCCTCAAAGTTGCATCAACTCTCCCAATTAAAGAATGCAGATAAAGGCCTTGTAGGAGTTACCAAACATTCCTACTTAATTTTGCTAGCATTAAATGCTGTATATTAGAAGCAATGCAGTAATCAGTCTTTATACTACATTCCCAAGATAAAATGTATGGGTTCAATGTCTTATCTTCCTATTGTTAACAAGTAATATGCTAAGAATATTATATTTAATGTATATTAAAATTTGAATTATACAATACTTGGTAGAAACATAATTTGAGACCACAGCATAGTGAAATCAGACTTTTGAAAATGTTACTTCCTTTACTATTGGAATCACCTTTCATGTTTGTGATGGAAAGAAAAACATTTCATTTTAATTGAGGAAATTAAAGGTTAGTTTTATGAATAAATAGTGGCAAAATAGCTTTTTGTACTCATGACAATGTACTTTTAAAAGAATAATAATAGAATATTTTAAAGACTCACATTAATCAACTTAATGGTGAATCCATATAGCTATTTTGGTTGCCTCCCTGTTTCTGTAAATGCTTTCTCATATGTCTTGTATTTATTTAAACACAAAGTTAATTAAATGATTAACATGGAAATTACATCTTCAGAATGATAGTGAAATTACCCTAAAAACTAGTGGATATAATACTTAGGGTAATATTTTGATTTTAGAAAGCAATCTTGTATGTATCCTGACCAGAGATTGAACCTGCAACCGCAGCAGATAGGGACAATGCACTAACCAGGGGTGTCCAACCCATGGCCCGTGGCCTACATGTGGCCCAGGATGGCTATGAATGTGGCCCAACACAAAATCATACATTTACTTAAAATCTTTTCTTTGCTCATCAGTTTTCATTAGTGTTCAGTGTGTGGCCCAAGACAACTCTTCTTCTTCCTTTGTGGCCCAGAGACACCAAAAGTTTGGATACCCCTGCACCAACTAGAAGAAGCAACCAATGAATGCATAAGTGGAACAACAAATTGATGTCTGTCTGTCTCTCTCTAAAATCAATTTTAAAAATTCCCAAACTTATAAAAAAAAAGGACAATCTTTATTTATATATAATTTATAATAGCTCTTTACAAATAATTTATCTATGGAATCTTACTGTAACTGATTAAAACATCAGCTTAATTTTTCCATTTGCCATTTTATCTATTTGAATAGCCACATCTTTTCCTTCTTTCATAAGAAAATTAATTTTTCCAGTTTACTCCCCAGCATTAACATCCAATTTTTCATGAAAACTCTACCTCAATAGGCTCGTTCATTTCAGTTGCTTCCTGTTTCCCTTCTTTGTCTTCTCCATTTTCCTAAAATGGAAACAGTGTTAGTAAGTGGTACCCAAAAGGAACTGGAAATAAACTAACATCTTATACTCTAGCATATCAAGCTTTTTATGTTAAACATTTTCACAGGATGAGTAAACATCATACAAAATAAAATCACACCAAGTACTTGTATTAACAAATTCAAACAGTAACAAGCTCATTAATACATAAGGAATGTGAATCAACTAGAAACAGTCCACTGCTTCTTAGTTGATCTCTTTTTTTTTTGCAGCATTTTTTGTCAAAATCTGATGCAGAATACTTCAACTAAAAAGAGATATAATTAAATGATAAAATATGATATTTCATCTTAGCTCTCCCAAGAAAGTTGAATCTCAAATCCTCTTATGGTTAAATGGTTAGGAATCTATTCAAGTCAGGTACCTGAGCAGGTTTGGGTTCCTCTTGAGATGCTGACTCACTCATCTGGGTCACTATAAAATATCACCAAATGGTAGGGGGAGGCATTACCAGACCATTATTAATAACAAAACAAGAGAAAGAAAATATTAATGAACAACAAGAGTATTCTGAAAGACCAAATATCTCCCCCAACCCCCCACCATATCCCACTGTTCTATTGAATGGTAGTAAGTTCTCAACTGCTAAATTTTTCAAACTGTACTTCTGTTATTACAGTTATTACTGACCAAAGCTAATTAATGCTAGGCTAGTGCTCAGTGAGACAGGAAAATTCACTCCAGTAATCATCACCATTATCATTTTTTTTTTAAAAACAGCAACAGTAATGCAACTGAATTTTTAAAAACATTATTAGTATCCTCATTAATTTTTGAAATAACAATCAAGGTGAGGTGAAGTGAAACTTTGATGGCTATTTAATTCATTTGAGGAAGGCTGACAGACATTGGAATAATAATCTCACCACAAAGCATTTTTTTGGAAGGGATGTTCTGAGAGAAATGTGATTTATCTGGTTTATTTATTCATATTATGGAATTAAAATAAATAATTACCAGGTCCCCATTTCATTGCAAATGACTATCGATTGTTGCAGATTATCAAAATCACTTTTGTGCCAAAACTCATTTGAAAGTTTGTATAGCCCTGGCCTGGTGGCTCAGATGGTTGGAGCATCATTCTATACACCAAAAGTCTGTAGGTTCGATTTCTGATCAGGGCACATAGTTAGGTTACTGGTTCAATCCCTGGCTGAGGCACATGTAGGAGGCAACTGATCGATATTTCTCATATCAATATTTCTCTTCCTCTTTCTCTGTTTTTCCTTTCCTCTCTCTAAAACCAATGAACATATCCTTGGGTGAGGATTAAAAAAAATTTTTTGTGTACATGTAGGCTAGGTGCTATGCAAAAAATAAATTTTATTCATGGGCTCTGCCTCTAGGGCGGTTATAATCTAGGGAATCTTTAATCTGAAATGATATGTTTATAATGTGCTAGAGCAGGAGGTCCAACCTATAGCCTGTGGGCTGCATGTGGCCCTGGATGGCTATGAATGCAGCTCATCACAAAATCATAAATTTACTTAAAACATTATGAGATTTTTTTATGATTATGTGTCACAATGTATTTAATGTGTGGCCCAAGACAACTCTTCTTCTTCCAGTGTGGCCCAGAGATGCCAAAAGGTTGGACACCCCTGCTAGAGTATTTGCCTTTTTATCAACATAACTTGTGTTCTAGTTGAATAAACCAAAAGTATGTCCTTTAGAGACAAGAGATTCCAGCACTTAAAAATAGCTGCCTCAAAACCTTTTGAAGCAGTTCATAAATAAATAATATAAACCAGATTTCTATGTTAGGTCCCAATTGTACATTCTCGCAGACTGCTTTCTTTCAGAAGTGTCTGTCTCCTGAAATTGCTAACAAGCATCCTTCCATTTCTTTAAAAATCTGTTTTGTTTGGATGCACTCAGATAAATTAAACTCAATAAACCTTTATTTGGTGCCTTCTATATGCAGGTAGACACTGGGGTTAAAAATACGAATAAGATTTGCCTTTGAAGAGTTCCCAGTTTAGTGAGGGAAAAATGAATAAACAGATTCAATTCAATCTGCAAAGTGCAAAAGTAGAGGTACATACAGAATGTTAAGGAACACAGAGGAATAAATAATATATTTTCCCAGAGAAATTAGGAAAGTTTGCAGAGAAAAATAGATTTTCAAGCTGGATTCAAGGGACTAGTAAAACCTTTTTGTGTAAAGAAGTGGCGAAGATTATTTGAGACAGAAAGAACAACACACACACAAGAGGATATGAAAGTTGAAAAACTGCTTGAAGCATTTATATAACAGAGCATAGTTATATATAAGAAAGTAGCAAAAAATGAGGCTAAAAAGTGTCAAACAATGGTTGCTGGTGCCAATTGAATGCCAACAGAAAGTCCTAATTTGGGGTGTAGTGAAGAAGGAAATTTTGTTCAGTGCAAAACAGCTCAATTGTGATACAGCACAGCTGTGAAAACAGCATGGCTGAGAAACAGCTCAATACTTTCCAAGTTCAATTATGAAGCAGCACATCTGTGAAACAGAATGGCTATGAAGAGGCCCTGGGGCAAGGTGGCCCTGGGGTGAGGCCACATCTTTGGCTAGGCAGCTCTGCTCTGCTCTAGTCCACTCCATCTGTTCTGGTCCCCTCTGCTGTTTCTTGCTCTGCTCCTGCACCTGTCTGCTCCAGGAAGACAGCGTCCATGTTTCAATTCCAGATAGAGAAACAGTCTTCAATGGAAAAGGAAGTGCTCCCAGACCCAGAGGGAGATGACTTATATAAGGAGAAGGTCCCTGATTGGTCCATCCACATGCAAATGAGGACTCCAAATCTTCACATTTTGATTGGTCCAAGAAGCACTGTCCTGATTAGTCAGAATGGAGCTGCTCTGAATCATTGGTGAAGATATTTATGGCATATAGCTGCAGAGCTCCAATTGAATGGAGAAGCCTCAGTCTTGTAGGCTGAAACAGGATTCCAGGAAATCCTCTATAAGGGCAGCTCAGATTGCAGAAACAGCACATGAAGACAGTTCAGTGCAGGAGGCAGGTAGCTTAGTGCAGGCTTCTCCCTGAAGTGCTGTTTGCATGGGAGGCCCCTGTTGAGAAATGGCTACTAGGCTCTGTTTTTAAAGCCCAGTTAAGCCACCAGGAGCCCTTCTTAGTAGGTATCTTCTTTATCAGGGTCCACAAAAATTTAACTTTTCCATCTGTAAAGAGTTATTCATGCTCAAGGAGTTTGGACTTTATCTGTGCTTTTTTAAGCATTGTACAGATGTGATCAAATTGGTGTTTTTAAAAAGTTAACTCCACCAGCAAAAACTGGAAGTGTGACAAGCCTTACCTGGTTTTGATCATTGTCACTATGATTGGCAAAATCTTCATCTGATTCCTTTAGGGGAAAAAGGATTTGTTAATAGAGGCTTTACTCAGAAGCACAACAATAATTTTGGGTCTAAGTCTTTGGGGCTCGTTAACACTTGGTCTTTGTACTGATTACTGGTCACCTGAAGTATCAAGGTGTAGAAAAGGTGGATAGCTGGCAATATCACCAAGTGCTGTTCCAATTAACATGTAATATTTTGTGGTTAATTAAAACATCTTTAACAATTAAAAAAAAAAAACTGGAAATGTGAAGAACTGGGGCTGGGGAAAGAGAATAAAGGTAAATTTTACACCTTAAATGTTGCACCTGAAGTGAATGCCTCACTTTCCCTCACTCCAATCTAGGCTCTGCCAGGCATTGTCAGTACCCTAACCATATCCCTTCAGCTTCACCTTTACAGTATATATAAAGGTTTCTGATTGCAAGCACCTGCAATTCTGTTAGAGCACTTCTTGTCAGTCCAAATGTGGGACAGGCCAGAAGAGCTTAGAAGTTAATATTGATAGGAGAAGCCCTCAGCCATTGTTGAATAGGATGTTGCATACAGTCCCACAGGTAGAGCACTTCTGAGTATGTTCTATACTGTCTCCCAGGGTTCCCCAATGGGATTGAGCCTCAATTGCCCACAGTGAAACCTGCTCAATAATGCATTTGATACCTGCCTAACATTACAGGCTTGCTTCACTTCCTGTATTATTTCTCTACTCCCTTACCATTGTTTTCTGGAACCACCTCCCAAATTAACATACACTCAGCATCTTGGATCAGGGTCTGTTCTGAGGGAACTCAAAAAAAAAACAACTACAATTATCAGGATTGGGGCATAATTGGATCTAAAGAGTGAATGAGGAGGTTAGTTAAGGCTCACTGGATGTTTTTATAATATTTAGAAAGCTGAATGGGTGGTAATGCTATTTAGTGAAACAAGGAAAGGAAAAAATCACAGGTTTGAAAAATGACACAAGTTTGAGTTTTTGGAGGTATTACACTTAAGCTACCTGCTTGATAGCCTGATAGAAGTTTTCTGTAAGAATCTGAATGACACTGAAATATGATGCATTTGCAGGAACTTATGCAGAATCAAGTCCACTGGAATATGATGGAAGCATTGTCCAGTCTGAACTGCATTAGTTAATTTGCATTCTGTACATCTCATATTCCCACCCATGAGATTACAGAGTCATTCCACTTAGGTTGTTGGCTGTGAGCTAACCTTTGTGAATCTAGTTAAGGACTCTTCACACACACTCCCATTAGATTTTTAAATTAGTGAATTGCAGCACTTGGGATCTTGGTTGGCAAGACTGTCAATCATATATGAAAGAGTAGCCAATTATCCTTGAGGAAGGAGTTTCCCAGTATAAAAATGAACTCATACATAATTCCTATTACTCAGACTAATAAAAAGATATGTCATTTACTTGGATTTCTTACAAGTCTTGACCCACTGGGTATTAATAGAAAGATGTTTTTATAGGAGGATGCTAATGGAACTCACCCAATAAGAAGAGCCAGGAGAAGAAATAAAAAGGCTGAAGGTATACCCTTGTTGATGAACACTTAATAGTAAGGCTGAGACAGAAGAACCAGTGAAAGATAGTGATAACTAATGAAAATGGCAGGAGATTCCTGCAGCTGTGTACTTGCACACCATTGGCCTAACTCCTACCAGAAGCCTCTACTGCTCTACACACTCCTATAGCAATCCCTGGCAGCTCCACAAGTACACAGTCTTTTTTCCACCATTCTAACAGCCAAGGCCCCACAGCTGCTTTTGGGCCTGTCATTGGCCTGCATGGCTCTGCTCACCTGCAGTTAGCCCTAGTTATGCACCTGCAAGGTGCCTGCCCCAACTGCCATCACCAGCTTCCACTGTCAACCACATGCCTGTGGCTAGCCTCTATAGTCATGCAAGTACACAATGACAGCTGGGACTGCTGCAGGTACTTGTCCACCTGAAGTTGGCCCCTGCCCCTGATGCTGGCCATGGCCATCAACACTGAACATATGTCTGCAGCAAGTCCCTGCAAATGTGCATACCACTGGTTCTAGCCACCAACCTGCCTAGTGT